TATTTATATTTATATTTATATTTATATTTATATTTATATTTATATTTATATTTATATTTATATTTATATTTATATACAATTACTTCTTCTCCAAAACAGTCAGCGAGGCTGCCTTGCTATTCTTACAACATCCACCAACACTCACATGTAAACATCTATTTTTTGGGAATATTTTTGTCATTTATGGCTAAAAATGATTTTTTCCACAACTGCTTGTCAATTTGGCATAAATGGTGTTGACATGGATTACACTCAGGCTTATTATTTTCAAATGCTAGTTTCTATTTTAAGTGCATTTAAAACATTTTTGTTTGCTCATTTTTGCACATTTCCAACGACTTCTCTGATTTCATGAAGATATCTCCATTTATATTGAAGTTATGATTGTTTTAGCTCTGCTGCTGACTTTGTCGAGCTGAGCTTATCATATGAGTGATTGTCCGTAGTTGTCCATCGTCCGTCGTCCGGCGTCCATCGTCATTTGTGTCAACTTTTTACATTTTTTACTTCTTCTTGAAGACTGAATGCTTTGATACTTGGTGTATATGTACCTTGGGTAGACCTCTTTTTTTTCATTTCGTGATGATATCTTTAATTCTCTAATTTTGATAAAAAAGTGGTAAAAAGTGATATTTTCGACTTCTTGTTAAAAAGTCTGATCGCTTTGAGGTAGACCTCTCTCAGATTTGTTCATTTCATGAGAATATCTTAAATTTTCTAATTTTGATGAATATTTTTGCTGAAAAGTGATATTTTCAACTTCTTGTTGAAAACAGCAAGTCTAATGATATCTTCAGTTTTTAATTGAAATGTGCATTGCTAACGGCAAAGTTATCTCAGCCGAGAGGCTGCTCGTCTGTTATTATTTTTTTGGACTTTTTCACTTTCCCATTCATTATCTATGGGCTATGTATAATGCAATGACTCCAGTAGACAGCTGTATCAGTTGTAAACTAGGCTTTCTTAGTACACATTGTCTTGAAAAAATGAACTAGATGGGCCAATGTTTTTCAGAAAAGTTCAGGTCAAGGTCATTTCAAGGTTTATATGTTTGCTGCTTTTATATATGGGTGATACTGAGGGTGGGAGGGACTAAAACACCTCTCCCAAATCTTCAAGACCCCAGGTCAGGGTCTTCTCAAGGTCACATGCTGATTGCATGTTTGTTGGTGTCAGGAGGTCACCCCTCGGAAAGATCAAGGTCATCTCATGATCACATGTCACTTTGTCATATTGTCTAACTTTGTCATTCTCAATTCAGTCACATGTACAGTAACCAAATAATGCAAAAATATATTCTGGTAATAGTGACAACAACTTCATGTTTATTACATACAGTTGTATGTTTCCTCCTACGGGATATACCCTTTTAGTGACCATTGCCACAATTACTAAACTGTCGTAGATTTCACTTCACCTTCTGCACTTGGTTGTTTTCTGATAGAGTAAATCCTGAAAAGCGTGTTCAACAATTAAATGTATTCTTTACTGTGTCTTTTCTAAAATCAGATTAACGCATACAATTATATAATGTTTAATTCTTACTGTTTATTTTTGCAGGCAGTGTACAAGAAAGTTTAGAGCGTAAATTTGGACGTGATGGCGGTAAAATTCCAATCACACCATCAGATCAATTTAGGATGAAAATAGCTGGAGCAAGTGAAAAAGACATTGTACACAGTGGGTTGGCACAGACCATGGAAAAATCTTCAAGGGTAAGATTATGAAATGTTGAAATTACGTTTTCAAAAATATGTTTATAATGAGCAAAATTATAGCACTTATTATGTTCAGACGTCAGTGAAGTGTGAATAACCATGGGTGACGTCAGTGAAGAGTGGGTATCCATGGGTGACGTCAGTGAAGAGTGGGTATCCATGGGTGATGCCATTGAAGAGTGGGTATCCATGGGTGACGCCATTTAAGAGTGAGTATCCATGGGTGACGTCAGAGAAGAGTGGGTAAGCGTGGGTGACGTTGGTGAAGAACGGGTAGTGGATAACCATGGTTGACGTCAGTGAAGAGCAGGTAACTGTGGATGACTAAAGAGTCAGAAACCACCTATACAGTCTCTCAAACTGGCTAAACTTGGTTTTGGGTGAATTTCATTTTGATTCTGGATTCCTGCAAAAGCAGTCATGTTAGAGGACACACTGGTGATGTTGCTTTGAAAGGTGATATACATTTTTCTTTTATCTACAGAGTATTATGAAAACAGCTACTAAATACAACCTTGGTCTTGATCTCCGTACCGCTGCATTCGTGAATGCTATTGAGAAGATTTATACATCTTATAAAGAATCTGGTCTTACTTTTACTTAGAACAAACCAAAAAATTTCCAGATATACTTCTC